CCTGCCCTACATCTTGCATCACCCCATGTATTGTTGTTATTGTTATTGGTGAATGTCTTGCATAGCTTCATATGCTCTGGAGCTGCAGCATATCAGCATGCTAGGCACATGCCCTGTAGGGAAATGGTAATGGAAAGCTCAACAGGGCTCCTGCTTCTGAGTCTATCAAGAGCCACTTAGACACATTCATTAAAGCAAACAGCCTACTGCTTCTGCTCCCCTTTGCACACTCAACAATAGCAGCTGCAGCCTGAAAAAGACCTAAAGGAAGGTTTCAGTCTATTAGGCCAGCTCAGTAACTGTTTCCACCTACACTTTACCTTTTGGCTTTCTCTGCCTGTAGATCCTTACTCCATTCTGCTTTGAAGTTCACCTCTCTTGATCCTTCTCCACAGTCTATTCATAGAACGATCCATAAATGAATAAAATGAATAAAAAAGGCATATGCTGAAAGCAAACCTTTATTTATTTATAAAACCCAAGGACGCAATATGCTTGAATAAGTTTTTGTTCCTTCTGGAGAGATAAATAGATGGACCCAAAGAGATATAAAGTGAGTCCCTAAAGCTCATTTAAAAAAAAACCCTCAGAATAATTGTAAGAAAACAGCAGCGATCAAATTTATCCTTTTTCCTAGCTTAATTTGAGATTGCCTAAAGGTAAAGGCTAAAAGGAAAGCTGTTCCGTTTACTTTTGGAATTACATTAACCTCTGAATCATAGCCAAAAATTAATGTTGGCACTCAGGAAGGATTAATACTTTATTTTATTTTTTTTGTAAAAAATTTTATTTTCAGCTTTACAATACATAACAATCTTACAAATACTTCAGATAAAAAATAAAAGAAATTGATACACACCCCTTTCGGTCTTGCCCGCCCATTTCCCCCCAAACCACATCCCACCTCAAACCAACTTACTTCTTTCCCTCTTTTTCTTCACTCACCCCCTCTCCTCCTTCACCTCAACCTTCCTACTTTCTTCTCACTTTCTTCTTCTCCCTCTTGATGCGGTCCAAGGGAAATGCCAGAGCAGTTCCTCTCTCAAAATTAAAACATTAATATTATATACAACAAGACTATTTCTACTTTATCTGAACTACTTAAACTTCAACCCATCCACCTCCCACCCCCCACCCCCTCCCACCCCCCGACTTCCCAGAGCAAAATACAGGATTATGCAAACATATTAAACATAATCTATTTACTAATTATACAATGAACAAAATCATAAAACCCTTAACTCTCTTCAAACTTTAACATCATAAGTTTATAAACAAAATCATTACTCATAGAATAAGTGAAAATTTGTAGTTCCATATTTCTTCTGAACATATTCTATCCATCTTCTCCATACATTTAAATATCTCTCTTGTGAATGGTCCTTTAAATAAGCAGAAATTTTAGCCATTTCTGCTAAATTAGAAACCTTAAATACCCATTCTTCTAAAGAAGGCAGAGTATCCTTCTTCCAATATTGACCCACCAGTAATCTTGCTGCTGGATTAATACTTTATTAACTTTGGGAACTGGAAATCTTCAGTAAATCACAAGGGTTGTGTGTATAGTGAAGGCAGGTGATGATGATCACCATCCCATTTATAGGGAAGTGCCTTGATATACATATAAGGCTTGTTCTGTCATATTAAAATAGCCCTCTGTTTACAGTAGTTTGCTTGTTTAACATTCATTGTTACAACAGCACTAAAAAAGTGACTTTTCACACTTAATAACCGTTGCAGCAGCCCAGGGTCATGTGATCAAAATGCAGACTCTTGGCAACTGGTTCATATTTATGACGGTTGCAGTGTCCCGGGGTCATGCCATCACCTTTTGGAACCTTCCAACAAGCCAAATCAATGAGGAAGCCAGATTCCCATAACAATCATGTTACTAACTTAACAACGGCAGTGGTTCGCTTAACAAGTGTGGCAAGAAAAGTTGTAAAATCGGGCAAAAGTCATTTAATATCTGTCTCGCTTAGCAACAGAAATTTTGGGCTGCCTTGTAGTTGTAAGTCAAGGACCACCTATATGGCAAACAGGTAGTCAGACAACAGTAAATCCATCATGTGACACCTGACTGGCACATAGGAAGCAGCTGTTCCAGGTATGATTCCCTAAAGCAGAAACAGGAAATGTTTGGCTCACCAGAATCTGTGGAACGGCTCCTGTCATTCCAACATTGAAGAATACTGGATGTTGCAGCTCAGCAATATCTGAAGCCTCCTATGTGCTCCATATTTTTAAATCCATCATTTCATTCATATTCATTTTCTGCCATAATGGGAGATACTAAGTGTGAGGTTTCCACAGTCTGCCTGTTTTCTTGTGACGAAAATGCCCATGATTATAATTCAGGGTTAGCTGAAAAAGTATTGAATAGATTTAGCTTTCATATTTCTGCTCCAATACTCAACATTGTTTAATACTTGATAAAGATAGCATGGAGAAATTTATTCAGTGTTGTATTTCAGTGTAACCTTGCCTCCCTCTGGCACTTCACAATTTTAATTACTCTTTGGCTTTTGTGCATTCCAAGCTTTGTGGTGCATTTCAGTGAGAAATTCATACAAACCAGTACAGAATTGGGAGGTATCTCCAGCCATAGTTTTTGAATATCTAAAAAAATATTTCAGTCATGATTAATCAGAAGATTTGTACAGTTTGGATACTTTAATTATTAACTGTCTTTTATTAATGGAATTCCTACAATTGGGATATGTCTAAAAAAATATAAATGTATATTACATAGGTTCTGGGGACTGGAGGCTAAAACATATAAAGAACGGTTGCTTGAATTGGGTATGTCTAGTCTAATGAAGAAAAGGACGAGGGGGGACATGACAGCAGTGTTCCAATATCTCAGGGGCTGCCACAAGGAAGAGGGAGTCAAGCTATTCTCCAAAGTGTCTGAAGGCAGGACAAGAAGCAATGGATGGAAACTAATCAAGGAGAAAAACAACCTAGAACTAAGGAGAAACTTCTCTAACACTGGAAGTTTTTAAGAAGAGATTGGACAACCATTTATTTCAAATGATATATAGGGTTTCCTGCCTGAGCAGGGGTTGGACTAGAACACTTCCAAGGTCCCTTCCAAATCTGTTATTCTGTTATCTATCTGAGCCTGTACATAACAGCATATGCATGCATATACAAACCATTAGTATTCACATAGGTTCTATAGAAATATGATTACTCTTACTGCACTATTCGTTTCTCAAAGATGCTTTTTCATGAGGCAACTGGACTTTCTTGTTTTTCTTTGATTGTTTTTCTTCTTTCGTTTGTTTCATTTGTAACATTTTAATCCATAGGAGAATGATCATCCACTTCCCTGTCCTGTGGTCCATTTGTTCAACAATACTAGAGTGGAAAGTAACTTTGAAATTAGTTCAGCCATCCATGCAGACAATCTTCTCAAACATATTTAACTACCCTATCCATTGATGTGTTGCTTTGTCCCAGCCTATTCTTACCTATTTTTAATTTCGTTTGTTTCTTGTTTTCAGAAAACTCTGGTCTAACCATTAAACCTGGGAACTTTTGAAAACCATTCCTGTTTCTGACAGTCTGAATAACTGTTTGCCTCCGTCAGGCAGAATACTAGCCTATGTCCCTAGATAGCTACAGCAGGTCCTTCAACGGCAAATGATGCATCATTGCATATGTCAGGCTGAATTAGAAAGCAGGCTCATCACATTACACTCAGAGTTGGAGTTGGCAGTTCCTGTGTCCTAGAGTCACTTGATCTGGGCTGTCATACTCCCACCTCCATCACTCCAGCCATGGGAAATCTCCCTGGACAACATACGGACAATAATGCTTAGTAATGAAGTTGCTCTGAGGAAATGGTTTATTGGCACTGGCCACCACTAGCTGTTCTATTAAGTTGTCTTATGGTGTTACGTAGTTGAAGGCATTATTTATGCTGCTATTTATTTCTGCTGGTGTTAACCGTATGTGCTCATTGACTGGTCCAGCAGCTTATTAGTCTATATTGAATGAGCATAAAAAGGAATAAAATAAAGCCAAATATCTGTCTTCAATGTACCAGCACAATCGAATCCAAAATTTATGTTGCTAAGTGAGACATTTGTTGTGAGTTTTGCCCCATTTTACAACCTTGTTAAGTGAATCACTGCAATTGTTAAGTTAGTAACATGGTTGTTAAATGAATCTGGCTTCCCCATTGATTTTGCTTGTCGCAAAAGGGGATCACATGATCTCAGGACACTGCAGCCATCATAAATATGAGTCAGTTGTCAAGCGTCTGAATTTTGATCACATGACTATGAGGATGCTGCAACAGTAATAAGTGCGGAAAATGGTCATAAGTCACTTTTTTCAGTGATGTTGTAACTTCCAACTCTTGTTCATTTAGGAGGACTACTTGTATTTGATCTAAGGTAATTTGATTGGTTATAGGATGGATCTGAAGTTTCTTTCTTTTTTTCCAGTATTGGGTCAGATATATTAGTTACATTATTCAGTTGGTGTGCTTGTCAAATTCATAAACCTTCTTTGGACTCAGAAAGCAAAATAATATAAAAATAATAATAACTTCATTTTTCTATCAAATGCTGCACATAAAAATATTACAAAGCACTTCAATACAATAGAATCAAATAATAAGATGTGATGTGAAAAACAAAAAGCCAAGTAAAATGGACCAAATAAAGAAAAATGTACATTGATTAGTATACATAAATAACTGTAGAGTATGTATATTTTATCTAATGAAACTAAATGGTCTAGTATCACATTTAAGAATCAGAGGAAGAAATTGTGAACACTGAATTGTTCTGTGGCATTTACAGTGCTGATTATTCAAACAAACATAGCAGCGTAAGGACAATTCAAGGACAACTCTTGCATGCAAATAGTGGAAACAGTAGCAAAATATTGAAACAGACATACAGAGTTTATACTGTGTGATAAACTTCTTTGATAGAAGTATTAATTATATTTGATTAACTCCTTTTGTTTCTTGTCTTTGTTAGGTACCTGTGCTAAGGCCCATGGATTTAATGGTGGAGGCAACTCCCAGAAGAGTCTTTGCAAATGCACATACCTATCACATCAATTCCATCTCTGTAAACAGTGACTATGAAACCTATATGTCAGCAGATGACTTGAGGATAAACTTATGGAACTTTGAAATAACCAATCAAAGTTTTAGTATCCTTTGCTGCATGAGTCTGCCTGGAAATATCATCTAATCAGAAGAGTCCTGTTTTAAGAAGAAGCACATTGCTCAATATACAAGTTTACATCTCTTCAATGGTTGGTTGTAACGTGCAGTTTACATTTATTTATTTTCCTGGGCCCCATCTACCTTTATCCTATACACTAACTTTTACTCAAAATGGTCATATCTGAGGCCTGTTTAATTTGGAGATTTTGCTCCTTTTATATGACTATGGGTATGGTTTAATGTTAAAAAGTATCTCAAGAGCTGAAGTGAATTTTTGCCACTAAAAAAGTAAACCAAGAAATGTAGGACGAACCAAAAAAACAAATATCGCTTTTCAGAGATTCTCTTTAATTCTATTGTTGGAATCCTTATGACTTCTATTTGAAATGTTTCAATAACATGTAGTTTTAAAGTTTAATCAAATGCTCACTTTGATGATGAGCATATGTTCTCCATGGGATTTGTGTCATGAAGGTAAGTTTATGTAAGTATTAACTATTTAAGTGGGGTGCTTCTCTCTATTGTTGTTGCCATCAGCAAAGCAGCATTTCTTGCAGCACTGATCATATTCCTCAAAAGTGTCATCTTTTGTCAACAGTCAAGGATGTGTCTTCTCAGTATGCATGCTCAGATGACCTTAGATGGGCACCAAAGCAGCTGCACAGGACTTTTGGAAAAAGACAGACAGTCACTTTGACAAATAGTGCTTTGCTTATAGCAATGTTGCAGGAAAAGCCCCTCTCAAAATGGTTGGCCCATTTTAAAAATGTCTTTCTTTTAATTAGATACTGAAGTAGACATTTGAGGAGTGAATTGTGTTGTATAAAAGTATTTGTGTCTTTATTTTAAAATCTACAGGCTTTCAAAATATAGAACAAGTTCTTTCATGTACTGGTAAAAACCAGTGTGCTGTAGACAGGAAATATGAAAAATGCCCACTGGACATTTTGAAAGCTGTTTCTCTATGATGGATTTCATGACTTATTTCCATATTCCGCTTATACATATTTTGTCACCCCAGTAGTTTATTCCTGAGATAGAGGCAATAATGGTAGGAAGTAAGCCACACAAATGTCCCTACCCCGTTATCTTCTGCATTGTAAGTTGGCTATGGTGTAGAATTGGGGTGAGTGTTCTTTTGAGCTCTCCTGTTCAACTAGGCCAAGGGTGAGGAACCTTGGCTCTTTTATGACTTGTGGACTTCAACTCCCAGAATTCCTGAACCAGCCAGGAATTCTGGCTGGGAGTTGAAGTCCACAAGTCATAAAAGGGCCAAGGTTTCCCCACCCCTGAACTAGGCCAAGCTTGCTCTAGGCCAGAGGTGTCAAACTGCCGGCCAACGGGCCGGACATGTCACCCGGAAGCCGCATCCACCCCATTGCCGGCAATGACGAAACCGTCCCGATATGTTGCGCGATGTCACATGACGTCACAAGTTTGATATGTCTGCTCTAGGCAACCTTAACAGTATGGTTGGCTTTGGAAAGGTGACATTGTAGGGCTTCCTAGCAAGGCCTGCATCAACTATAGCCATTTTAAGTGGGTATAAGGCTTTGTATTTAAGTTTTATTGACCTGTCCCTTGCCTATCACACTTTGTGAAGAACAGAACTTCCTTCTCAGTACAGATTAAATTGTAGACATATTTTAAATCTGGCATTTGTGTTTGGAGACATGTGGCTAACAGGTGAGTAGCGAGAAAGAAAGGATAGAGAATTCTGTAAACGTTAAACTCAAGTATTAGGAAGAACAGAATTAAACAGAAGACACAGTTTAAAAAAAATTAATCTGGAGGAGTGTGGTAACTGCTTCTCCAAGGCAACACAATTCAGTCAACTGCTAGAACAAAGAGGAAAGGTGACATGGAGAGTCTGTTTCTATGCTGTTAGGTGTAGGGAACAGGAACTTTCAGGAGAAGAAACTTCATCAGCTGTGAGCCTTACAGAGAATAACTAGAAGGGCTCCAGAAAGTGACAGGGAGTGTTTAATAGCGTCATTCAAATTAGTATATCCTAATTTATATCTGCTACGTAGTACTCCTATTCTAAAGACATCACTTATTTCAAGGAGATATGAATCAAGGTCATGGATACGGGTGCTTGGTGATCATCCTGAGTTTGTTTATTTGAAGGGTATGCTGCTCAAATAGCAATAGCACTTAGACTTATACACCTCTTCACAGTGCTTTTCAGCCCTCTCTGAGCAGTTTACAGATTCAGCATATTGCTCCCAACAATCTGGGTCCTTATTTTACCGACCTCAGAAGGAAAGAAGGAAAGCTGAGTCAACCTTGAGTGAGCCAGGATTGAACTGCTGGCAGTGGGCAGAGTCAGCCTGCAATACTGCATTCCAACCACTGTGCCACCATGGCTCAAATAAAGAGCATAAAAGAGAGAGAAAATAGCAACAGAGGACAAATAGCAACAGTGGAAGATGACTGTTAGAATTTGGAGGAAGGAAATCAGGGAAGAAGCAGATGGCATTAAGGAGGAGAAAAAAGATGCAAGGGGGAGCACTGCTGGGTATGGGACGGGTGATCCTCTTCCATAGTTTATTCCTGCAAGACAAATATATGTCTAGATGCCTTTCCCTTCCATTTACAGTATATGTAAGTGGCCTTGCCTTTCAAATCTTGCCTTAACAATTAATTGCTTGAGTCCCTTGCACAGCTTTATTACCAAGAACAGTGAATAGTCTGGTTTAGGTAGCCAAGAACGCACATGCACTCAGATGAGTTGGTGGTGCTATTTTCCAGCTTGGCTGACAACTGTTTAGATTTTGCTTACAGATTAGCATGGGAGATAAGAGGAGACATTGCAGGGTGTAATTTAGAAGACAGGTGCCTTTAGAGAGAATATGGGAAAGAAATGTTAATAGGTAGCTTTCACGATGCTCGCAATGTATGACAGGCTGCCAGAAGCCAGCATTCAAATGAGATTCTGCCAGTCAAGTTTATAAAGCCATAATATGAATTATAATAGGACAAAGAACAATAATTAATTTCTATAAAGCATGTCCAAAACATCACATATTCTTTGAAGTAACACTGCAGGAAATGGAAACCGGTTACTGAAGGTGATTGAAAAAAAGAAAGAAAAACCTTCAGAGCCAGATGTATGCATAAGTGCTTGCGCACTTGTATTTTTTTTTTTCAGCAATCAGATAGAGGCTTGCTGGATAGTATGTCATACACCAGGGGTCCCCAACCTATGGTCCACGGCCTGGGACCGGGCCATGGGCTCTTGGCCAGTGGGCAGCAGAAACGATTGGCTGGTGCATGCACGCATGGGCACACATTCTCCCACGGCCTGTTAGCACATGTGTGTGAGCGCAAAGGGAGATGCTAGCATGGGACGGGTGTCCACAGCTCATTTGCACATGACTGCTAATCTGGGTGGTTTGCGTGGCCCATTCGTGCATGCACAAATGAGCTGCTAACTGCCGTGGGGGGTGTGCGGCTGTTTGAGCATGCGCACAGCACCAGACATGCTGCATGCATAAATGGGCCTGCTAGTGTCATGCCAGTGTGTGTGGCCCTGTGTGTGCACACACACGTGCGCTAGTTTTGAAGCTGCTCTCCTTTCCTCCGGTCCTCGAGCCTGGAAAGATTGGAGACCTCTGTCACAGACTTTTCCTCAAAAGATAGAGGTGCTGGAGAGGCCCTGAGATAATAGTGGTGAAGAGAGGCAGAATGAATCATCATGCATTTTCTCATGTTCAGAATAACCGTCTGATTGTTTGCATATATAGTATGTTGGATGCTGCACTTCATATTTCTCAACCTGCAGTTTACGTACTCTCGGATTATTTTTGCACAAAGCAAGCTATAGAACCAATATCATTCCTGACTTCAGATAGCCAGAAGCACTAGAATAGGTATGCAATATTTTGATAGCCAGCATGGTTTGGTAGTTAAAGTTCTGGATGATATTTTGGAGATCAAAGTTCTAGTCCATCTTCAGCCTTGGAAGCTCCTTGGCTAATTTTCACTGTTTCCTAGCAAATTGAGGGAAAACTTGGAGGAGTGAATGCTCTGGATACTGCCTTCATCTTCTGAAGGAAAGACAGGATACAAATTTATTCATCGTTTTGTCTGCCAAGGGCTGCAGTGAGTTCCCTTGGCTTGCAGAAGGGAGATGGTGGATCAGCATGGACTCATAGGGTTCAGCCTGTATGTAGTAATCTAGAATGTCTTTTATAGCCTTAGTTCTTTTGTTCATTGTATGAAATTACTTTATCCTTGGCAATTAACCTGCTTTTTTGTCACAGGTTACCTTTTGCAGATTTAATGCCATATGTAGTAGGAGACTGTAGAACTTGTTCTTATAAAGATTATAACAATTCCATCTTTATCAAATGGATTTGTCCTTAAAAAAAAAAAAAAGGTTCTTCTGGTTTATCAGTGAATCATACCCAGAACTTAATAAGCTTGTAAGGAAACCTGCCTGATATCTGAAATGGCTGCTTAATTTTTAATAGTTTGTTTATAGGGTTCTACTTAGTTAATATCACTGGATGATACGGAATTGTTGCAAAATGGCCAGTCATTTCTTTTTGGAAGAATAAAAAAAACATCTAAGGGGTATTGCATATGATCTTGCCAGAATTAAGTGCTTTTAGCATTAGCAAAAATAACATTTCAAATACTTGCCATGTATAAAAGCTTAGATACTTTAAAGATCTAATTTTTAAAGAAGGATTATGAAGATGCCTCATTGTTCTGTCAAGACTGTTAAACCTGTGTTTGTTTGAAGTGTGAAATATAAGCCCCATTAAATGGCTTGAGTGGGAAAACTGGTTTAGCCAATTACATTCAAGGTTTAAGGAGGTGTGAAATGTAATTTAACTTTAGCAATGGCTTGTATCAAAAGAGGCATAAATTTTGATTCTCTCTTCTTGCACCAGGAAAGATGCAATCAGCTGAGAACTGCTTCATGCTGCAGATAGAAACTGCTTTGCAGAGGCAATTTTTTGAGACTGGTGGA